GTCTTCATGGCATAGTGCTTCATTACTTAAACACAAGAACAACTTTAACTTTGCCTTTTACCATACCTATAACTCCACTCCCCAATACATCTTAATTAAGCATAGGGATAACTTTACATTTATTTGTTTTATTAATTTTGCATTTCCTATATTTACTTTCCCAAAATGGGCATTAGCCGGTCACGGTAGCCGAGCGGTCTAAGGCATGTACTGTCTTCGTTCGCTCGGATGCCAGGATCGTGGGTTCGAATCCCACTCAGGGCATGGATGTTTAGTTTGTGTGTGTGGGTTTTTCTGTGTTTGTGTACAGGTAGAAGCCTTGCGACGAGCTGATCACCCGCCCAAGGAGTCCTACCGAATGTGTAAGATCTAGAACAACCGAAGTGAAGGGAGAAGTTCATGGAGGTAGGCCTAGACCCACTGGGGCTGTAGTGCCAAGGAAAAAAAAAAGGGCATTATGTATGAATTAAACACTTCCCATGTGCTTAATCACCACGCCTTGGAGACATATGGGGTCGTGTGTGTATATATAGCTCCACGCGTGTTTAAACTCAGCACTAGATGGATGTTGGGTGGAGTCCTAAATCGTGTGTGGACGTGATGTCGAACAAAATAATCTCAGAGCCTCATGGGAATCAAACCCCTGTCATTCAGGCCATCAGCCAGCCAGCCTCTCCACTGGCTGAGACATTCCGGCTCATGTCAAAACAAGTAATAATACGAGCGACTGGAGGATACAAGCTGAAATCAATCGTATACATAATCTGTACCATAACTGCCAATCGAATTAGTTTAGAATCCCGATTTCTCGGTCGTCTAGCCGAAAGCTCGTCGCTACACCCACTGCGCTTACACGATAGTTACAGGCTAAGAACATAATACAGTGATTCCTTCCTGACGGGTTTGTGCCAGAACCTATCTGTCCATAACGCCGTCCATAACTGGAAGGAATGGGGGAAAGGTAGGCGTTACATGTATGAAGCTCCGTTTCAACATTTGACAGCACGGACTGGGTGAATCCACAAATAACATCAGCAACGTCACTGTTAAACCGTCTACCTGCGAATACTAAGCATTCGTGGCTGCTAATGACCACAAACTACACAGTTTTAAGAATGACAATTTTTTTTTCTTTCTGTGGCGCTACAGCCCCAATTTGGGCCTAGGCCTACCTCCATGAAACTCTCCGTTTCACTTCAGTTTACTAGATCTTACACATATGGTAGGACTCCTTGGGCGAGTGATCAGCTCGTCGCAAGGCCTCTACCTGTAGACAAACACAGAAAAACGCGCACAAACATCCATGCCCTGAGTGGGATTCGAACCCACGATCCCGGCTTCCGAGCGAGCGAAGACAGTGCATGCCTTAGACCACTCGGCTACCGTGACCGGCAAGAATGACAATTGGTAATTTTCATTTCGTGCATCCTGTTGTGTTACAATATACAGCTCTTTTAATGACCGTCTCACAACACAACAAACAGAAAAAAAAACAAGGTTAGCGCCCAGCTATGGTTTCGCTACATGTTTCAGCCACTAACGGCCATCATCAGGCAAACACATATTAACAATGACAATTGGTATAATCAAACCAAGAACTTCGAGGATACAAATCAGATTCTATAAGAAATTTAACATAACGGGCTGGGTTAAGTTGTTGAGGTTAGAATCGTTGCGATTTATTACTTATAGACTTAATGAACAGTAGACTTATTATAGTCTCTGTGAGATACCCAGTAACCCTGGGCCGTGCCATGGCTCAGGCGTTTAGTAGTTGGCTTCCCACAGCGGCGGCCCGGGTTCGAACCCATGTCCATTCATGTGGGATTTTCTCCGAGTACTTCGGTTTCCCCTGCCAATTCTCATTCCACCTACTGCTCCACACTCACCATCTATCATCCGGGGCTGGTACAACTGGCCGACGTACCAAGTGGACTCAGTCTCACCGCACCCCAAGAAACAAAATAAGGAACCTAAACTACCTAGCACCCTCAATTGGAAAGTCAGAGAAGCCAGAATATTAGAATTTATGTTTTGACATACAGACTGTGCAGACAATCTGAGTCCACCGTTCAATGCGCAGTGCAGTACCTGAGCATTACGTAACGCAAACCACAACAACAAATGTGGACCCGTCGGACGCCTTATTACGAAACAGCTCTACTTGTTGATGTACAGACCATTCAGAAACGTTAGTTTCATGACAGAATAATAGCCACTGAAACTTAAAATGGCAATTTTTAGATAACAAAAGCATTTACACTTCACCTACGTGTCCTAAAGCTCGGTGGTTCACTATCAGCGCACGTACCTTCCTACGGAAAGTCTGAAATGCAGTTTCCATACCAAACATAGTAATAAAGATTAACTTAAAGTAAAGCTCGGCTCTTCTTCGTAGGAATAAAACTGCGTAAATTCATTTACACCTTAAATTCCAATATCATTACTATTGCCATCGCGTAGAAAACAATGAAGCCGACAGGCAGCTCCGCCGTTTGACCAGCGATGTTTAATTAATTACCAATCCGTTCTCAAGGTGAGACAAATTATCAGGCGAGACATATATTAAAATGTATAGATGAGAAATGCTAAAACTGGAATTTATATAACACATTTAATTATTCTGTGAAATAGCAGTAACATAACGTTTAGTACTTCATACGTACGATCCTACGAAGCATTAGCAGACATAACAGTTGCCTGTTCCTACGGGCTGGCTACCATCATTACATTTGGTTTGTGTACAAGTGATCTGGATATTACTGTCTCAGCGTTTCTGAAGCATCTGCAGCAGTTATCTGTAGCAGCTCAAACGTCAAGTAGCAACCCTATTACAACCTCGTCGAATTTTAACAATTATAATAGTAAGCAGGAATGTGCGAATTCCGTTTAATTGAATCTCTGACCTTTTATGCTTGGCCCTTAATTGATACTCGATTGATAGATCCTCAAGATTTTCTTAAGTATTCATTCAATATATTTTTGTAGTTTTGAAATAGCGTTGGGGCTCCACACTTTTTACTGGACCGGGCTCCACTTCGCCCTCTCAGGTCCTGCTTGAAAGTATTCTGAACAAGACAGACTGTACTGTACCCCGCTAACCTAAACGCAACGCAGACCTCACACTGGGCAAACTTCACATATAGACAGCCGTAGCAAATGTTACATCCTCATGGAGCTCTTGTCCATTAAAATGAGGTTGTGGGATTGAATTAATGTCTTCGATCTCCACAGACATTCCGCGGATTATGAAATAGATCCATATCCCCTCAAAAAAAATGCCAAACGTGGTGGTGATTCTCTAGGGGGGGATACGCAGGGACGAGAGCTTCTGGGGTGTCACATGCTGCAATATACATAAGCACTGTAATACTGATGACAGCAATTAATTGTCAAATACAGCGTCAGATTGACACGAATGCACATATAACTGAATTTTCCCCAAACTACGCTAAGCTGAATTTTACAATTCTTGCCCCATTCTTTGTTCTTTCTCTTCGGCCCAAAGGATGCATGAGCAAAAGAAGCTGGAGAGGTGAAATCCGTACCGGAATACATGAAGTTCCCACATGCATTCTTTGCATAATACTCATCTGTGAATGCATATTTATATGATTTGTGTGACCACCGCAATGGCCCTATAATTCTCCGCAGGGGCCACTCATATTAAATGTCTTCAAAATCTGTCCAGAGGTTCTCGTCTTGAAATATGCGCCGGACGGACAAGTAGACAAACACAATTTCCATTCTATGCGTTAAGTTTGTGCACATCGTGCAAAGAGGGCATTTTGCTGGTAATGTAAACAAGAAGAACTGAACAGACTACACGAGCAACCTCTTCCTTATCGTCTCTTCGTCCTCACATAGCTCGCGTAATGATAAGCCACCTGTGCCCTAATCGAAATCGGCATTTCCTGGCCACAAACAATACAAATACGGTTAGGATTCGGTATGACTAAACATTCAATATTTGAAAACTTTAATACGAATTATTATTATAGGAAAAAACAAAATAACATTGAATTTGTTTGGTCTAAAAACGAGTGTTCAAAGAAAATTACAAGGCTTTCATGCGGCAAGTACTGGCTGAATGATACATCTCCCATCAGCAAGTTCTTACCCTATCAAGGCATTATACTCTTCTCTGAACACTCGTTTTTAGATCAAACAAATTAAATTTTATTTTGTTTTTTCGATAATAGTAATTCATATTAAATTTTTCGAACATTGAAAATTTAGTTGGAACTGATTTCCAATTCCATTATTAGTTCTATATGGGTACTGTAATTAATTGTCAAGCAGGTATCTTGTACTAATTACGGTATACAGTGGCCAGGTATTTACTAAATATCGATAATTTTGACTGTATATTTCGGTACATCCGGCAAGAAAAAATGTTACGTGACGGCTGACGGCTGTAGTTCCATCCTGGATATAGAATTCGACGTGCAGAACCCGACACCAAACAACACTAGTCTCTCCCGTAGACTATTAGAGTACGATTATGCATCAAATGTGAGAACACTGAAAACGTGCTGTAAAATGAGCGTTCCAGCGAAGAAAGGGAGTTTACAGACACACGGTAAATTATACAGGTGTAAAACATTGTCAGTAAGCTGTTTTTATAGAGCTGCTTGTCAAGGTCAGTTCTATCGTTAATGAAATCATCTCCTGTTAGTACAATACATCTGACTACGAGCAACAGAAATACAGGATGCACAGTACCGGCGATACAACGTCTTTCATACATTCCGTCTGTTCCCATTTTACGGACAGTTTATTTTTGGGGGGAGTTATATTCATTTCTGGAAACCTTAAAAGATATGGGTTTAGAACTCGGTAATATAACGTACGTTGTGATAATGTCAAAAATAGAAAACAAACTTTAGTAAGTTTGTTCTGTTCACAAAAGTACTAGCATAAAAACTGGCAGTGTGGTTCATCATTACACCCACTTCATAGAAACACACAGCTACTGCCACATACATGCAAACACTTACCTCAGCGACAGATTGTTTAGTGAAGTCGTTGAGGGATTGCATCCAAGCATTTAATATCTCATTCACTACCACCAAATCGGAATATAACCAATTAAGCACTTCGTTGACCCACTGAACACTTTCACTCTCAGGTCCTGTAGCAACGGGTGGTTGGACGTAGGATGTAGTTTTCGTTGGGGATGGTGCAGGGCCGGACCCCCGTTTGGATATTCTTTTTCGTATAGGGGGTGTGGGAGGTACGGGGGTGCCTGCCGTCCTCGAAGCAGCGACGGTTGAACGGGGTAGTTCTTTAGCAACCAGGGCATCTTCACTGACACTTGGAGCCGCGGCGACTGCTGCTGGCGGTACGACTACCGACGACTTATCTTTCACTTCTGAAGAACTAATAAATGTACCATAAATGTATCTCCCTATGCCAAGTACAAACAATCCGAATATCATCCAACCAAATATCAACATAGCCAAGGTATCCATTGTTGTTTCGGCGCCGCCTTCAAAGCTACAGATCAGGTCGTCTATTCTATCCGCCAAGTCGGCCATATTGCTCCATCCCGCCGACAGCCAGTTCCAAATTTGCTTTAGAATGAGATCAGCCATTTCTATAAATAAGTCACCGGTTCACACAGTGAAAATAGCATCTCAGAACTGGGTAGAGAGATCGAGTTTCCCCGGCAGCAGTCACTGAGCGTGTGCCAAAGCCTCACTAACATGACACTGCAGCGCTCTCTCTTGCGGCCCCAGCTGTAAACAGTTGCCTAGTGACCCTAGTGACCGCTAGTGACTGTAGTGGCAATCCTGCTCATGCATGCTCAGAATTCGGTCGCGCAATCGATACATCGTCAAACTCAAATTTGTTAAAATAGTGTACAAAACAGAGTGTAAACAATTAGTAACGTAAAACGGTGCTGACAGCACTAGCGAACTTTCGTGTTTTATATCTGAATATGGCAACTAATATGAGGAATCTGACAGCAGACGCAACATGCAATGAACCTCGGTAAAAAACGTTACCGCTACAACGAATATACATGCAACAATAGAAGTATTGTTGGAGGCGTAGTTTTCTGTGCGGCCCGTGTAGTATCAAAGGAAAGTAGGCTATTAAGTCTTCCCAGAACTTCTTATCTGATTTGTAAATACTTTTTCTGTCACTATGGTTTTGAAGAATCCAGTAAGATACAAGTATGATGGGCCGCAAATAGTTGTAATGGGCTGAAATGAATTTTTCCTAAATGAAAGTGAAAAAAGAGCTGTTCTTTAAAAAAATCAAAAAGAACTTTACTAATAGTTCTTCTTAGGATTCGAACAGAGTGCCTCTCCAACATAACGGAGAATTAAGACCACAGAAGTAGTCAACCTTATAAAGAAATTATCGTAAGTGAAATCTGTCACCACTTCTGCCTGGATAGGTCTCATGATAAAAAAAAACAATATGTTAACAATACCTTCTGGACCGTAACACAGTGAAGTATGTTAGAAGCTTACTAGATTAGAAAAAAGTCTGTTCTTTTATCATGTAGTTCAGTCAGGGTTACACTCCATTAGGAAGGCTACGCGACTTTTTAGATCTATTTCGCTAAATATTTATGAGCACTAAAATTCATGACTTCTGTTGCAAGAGTTGGATTGCGAGAGCCCCATAATTACGAATTAAAGTGGAGGGTATCAAGTGCAGATATACAGAGTATACAGTAGAAGGCATGAATATATAATTGATGTTGCTTCAAATCAAGGTTCAATTTCTAAATAAAATGAAAGTCAATTTCTTTTGTGAAATTACAGGAAAACAAGTGTCATGAATTACCAATCTGACACGAAATTTACAGTGGTAGGTACACTTCAGTTTCTTCTGATTAACTTTCGTATTTACAGGTTCATATTAATCAGCCTTAAGACCTCAGGCTGAGAAGGATAAAAGAACGATTAAGGTTTCCATTTGCTAGTTAAATCTCCAGATCACGAGGTAGCCACATGGGTCTCAAGATGAGAATATTCTTGCAGTTCGGAATTGTGAAAACACTGATGTTTCGAAAGAAAAAACCGCATGCCTATTTATTACTCAGGAACCGGATGTCTTGATTATATGACATTACTCAAATAGAGATTCTGTAAATTATTAAGTGCGAAACTTGTCTATATACTTTTACAAAAATGGTTCCTACCACCAAGAAAACATCGCATGAAGATCAGTCAGTTAATGATAAAATTAGTAAAATAATTGCTATGTATTCTGGAAACAAAACAAAATTACAAATATATTCTTTGAATAAATTGACGAGGTACTAAACGTCAAAACTGGTGGTCGTCGTAGTTAAAATTTTGCTGCAGAAAACTAAATTTATAATTTCACTAGAAAAGTAGCCTTAAGAATCTGCCATAATTAAGAAATGTCGCAGTTTTGCTATTGTTTTATCTGTAGGTATGAAATTTATAGATATTAACTAACACCTTTGTTATATTCCTTCGCTTAGATGATAAGGCATTAACCTACAACAAATTAAGATGTTCATCATCCTCACCGTAAAGAGTAAAAGTAAAGCTATCCCTGTAACAGGCCGTGAAGGCCCATAGGGTTGTGAGACGTTGAGGGTCCCACATTATCTAGACAATCGGCTCAAAGATGGCGGTAAGGTTGTCAGCCTTACGCGCCGGCCGGGCTTTATTCCCCAGGAAAATTATTTACACCGAACCAGTCCTAATTCATTAACGCACCAGGGTCACCACGGTCTCCCCAATTGGAGAAGAGAACGAGTTACAAATGTATCTGTGGGAATAAAACAAGTTTCCGGCATTTGAATTATCAATGCCACCGACTCTACTGAATTATAAACAACATCGATATTTAATGGTCTACATAAATAATTATGTTTTCTTCCTTTATGCAAGATCTCGTTTTCAGGGATTGGCAACAGCCGCGTGTTGTATGTACTGTTTGCATGTGTAAGGGGTGGGCCATGAAAACCGGCCCTTGTACCGCGACCTTCAGTGATCTATTGTGCCTCCCCTTTGATTAATCCTTTATTAAACCTACACTTCGAATGAAATGTAGGGCTTTATTTATGGGGCGTCATAATAGTTACTTGGTTGCATAAAGAACTGGCCCAGGTGGCGAAATCTTAAATAAGCTATGGCCTCACAATCACGTAGGATATGTGTGGCTGATTCATCTTCTTCTACACACCTTTCACAAGTTGGGTTATCTGTCAATCCCAATTTGATTAGATGTTCTTTTAGGTGGAGGTGTCCAGTAAGTAGTCCTACCGCCCATCTTAATTGGTCACAGAGCTGTGTGTTTCTGGATTATTTTAGCTTCTATAGGTAGAAATTTGAGATTCGTGGCAAGATCTTTATTGTTCTGTTTATTTAATGGACGTTTATTTTGAGCTAATTCTTTATAAAGACTCCTCTTGACCAACAACTTTCATTAAGAAATATTCCCAAGGCCTCCGCCATTTCCTAACTATTTGTCCTCCAGTATAAATTTTCATAATGTGTTTTTCTACAGACCAATTCACAGCACATTTTCCCAGCTCAGCATTGCCAACGACGTGATTATAATCGATATAGGAACATTTACACTCTTCATCTCTAGCTATTTGCAGCCGCAATGCAACACAGATATTTGTGTATGGACTGTGCAACCCACTTTTTCGAAAAACTGGAGTTGGCCACCCACTCTAGGAAATAGGTAGGACTGTAGAAGACGCCGGCTGGGACGAGTAGCATCGCCAGTTCTCTTCAAAATTATGGACGAGCTTGCTTTCTGCTATGTGACGACAAATCATGTAGCTGAAGGAGCCGGTTCTCCTTTTATCTCAACGGAAGTAATTTTTCAAAGTGCTAATTTTATAAGACACAACATGTGGTAATTATTTACTTTAACTTTGCTACAATGAAAAACATCCTTGTAACCGATTCACAGGTAAACACATGAGAAGTAACAATTCGCTTAGTGGGGGGTGGAGTCCAATGTGTCCACTCGGCACGGCGATTGGCCTCTTGTACCTGCTCCGGGTGTTTATGATGATGAAAAATTTGGTGGAATGAAGATTGGCAGGGGAAACCGAAGTACTCGGAGAAAACTCGCCCCAGCGCCACTTTGTCCACCACTTGACGAGACCTGGGATCGAACCCCGGCCGCCGCGGTGGGAAGCCAGCGACTAACCGCTTGAGCTATGACGCGGCCTAAAAGTAACAAGATAATACGTATATACAAGTATTATGTTTTTGGGCGTTATCCATCATCCTGTCTATTTTCTAAAAACCGTCCTGTTTATTTTTCAAACCACAACATTTCGAAGATTGGGTTCTGTCCCCGTCCTCAGGTAAGAAATAGGGACTAGCTCTATCTATTGGACCCAACTGAGTAGGTTTTACCTGAGGACGGGGATAGAATCCAGTCTCCGAAACGTTGTGTTTTGAAAAATAAACAGGACGGTTTTTAGAAAATAGACAGGACGATGGATAATGCCCAAAAACATAATATACGTACTTGTATGAATGTACCGTCGGCACGAATTTCTAGATCTTATTAATATAATATATACTGAAACACATGAGGGACTTCAGTTGAAGAGACTTTTACACAGGAAGAGATGAAAGGAAAAAAGGTAAAGCTACCCCTGTAACAGGCTGTGAATGCACATAGGGTTGTGAGACGTCGAAGCTTCCATATTTTCCAGACAATCGGCTCACTGATGGCGGTGAGATTGTCAGCCTTATACACCGTCCACCCCCTACCCCCAGGAATACTCCGGTACTCACTTCTGTCAGAGGCTGACTCGACCCCAGGGCATAGTACGGCTGGAAGAATTAAATAAATTGAAAAATCCAGTGACCTCATTGGGAATCGACCCCGCGACCTTCCGGCTTGTAGCATAGTTCCTCAACCAACTACGCTTCCGCGTGCCCCCACAGGAAGAAGTGAAACAGCATATAATACAATGGGTGAAAGTAGGTGGAAATATAGAGTGCAATTATAAACCTGTAGGTTGAAGAGGACAGGAAGACAAAGAAGACATTAGAAAAAGATTCCGAGGCTCGGTAAAGTACTCAGCCGAAGGATTTCAGGTTTCCATAGCGATTCGACTATACTTCTTGTGTGTTTCTTATTTCGGCTTCTGATTCCATGTAGCAGTAGAAATCATTAAAGACGTTTCGGTAAAACATTTTTAAGGTGCATGGATGAAGAAATGGAAGAACATGAAAGGGAAACTGGTCTGCCTAACCCGTGAACAGCAAATTCAGCACTTTCTCGGATGAATGATAAATAGTCAACTATAAACTCAAGAAATAGGCCACGGCTACAAAATCCCAGACTTTCCAAATGATCACCACAGTTGAATACACCTTCTTTTATAAAATTTGGATCCAACGAGGACCATAAATCCGGAACCACGGCAACTTCGCCCTCAATCACGCGTGCAGTGAAACATGAGTGTCGAGATTGAGGCCATGAAACAGATAAAATTATTCGAAACGTTATGTGTAACGTAGTTGTGTTTTATAAACGCTAAATTCAATTTCGCGTGCTCGAAGCTCAACTAGTCTTCTGCCGACAGCGGCAGCAGCAGTAAATTTGCTGATCAAATATTGTCCTGGAACGTCATGCTGTATATCTCAATAGGTGTGAACGTTCCGTCAGGAAACCGTAAAACAAAAAGATAAACTCCGTGGCCTGTAGTCCGTAAGCGAACTATATCGACCGAGCGACCGCC